AGTGGCATCTTACATCCAACCTGTGTCTGACCTGAACGCTAGTTGTTCTTCCTTACTTCCAAGTTACTTGCCTCTTTCCTTCCTACGACGGAGGCGGGGTGAGTAGGATAGCAGCTGCAGTAGCAGTAACCCTAAAATGTAGGCTCTGAAGGGGTTCAAGTAGTCACTGGAAAGAACGGAATTTTCTTCTATCCTGGCAAGATCTTCCTTTGGACAGCAGCCCCGACCCATGTTTTTTTTTTTTTTTTTTTTTTTAGAAGTGGAACTAAAGTTGAAATACAGGTAATGGGGTAATCCGGAGGTTAGCAGCCTTGATGGATAATGAACAAGATCAGAAGGGATGAGCAGGTTAGTGTTGGATGGATTAATGATAATAATTCCCAAAAGGGGATGTCCCTTGGGAAAACAGCAGGTGGATTTTCAAATTGTAGAAACGTGCTTATTTTGGTTTTACCCAAATGAAGAGTCCTAGTTAATGCAAAATGCAAAAAAATAATGTTGGCCGAGTTTTCCCCCGTAAAACCAAAGAAGGTTTAAGAACCTCATAAAAGAGTTCCAATTTCTCAAGAGTGGTTTTTAAAAACAAATTTCTATTTTATTAACCTGAAAAAGAAATTCAAAACAGAAACATAATTAAGAAAATAGTGAATGCAAACAGCATCTCTGGAACATAGGGTACTTTCCAGCTCTAATTGTACTGATAAGAGTTGTCCCTTCTGGTTCAGGTCTCCAACTCGCAGGATCAAGTCGACCTTTTGAGTATTGTTTTCTGAGAGAGAGAGACAGAGGGCCTGTGTTCTGTAATTCCTATAGTTTGCCTGTGAATCAGAGTTCTCTGTAAAGCTGCTAGGAGGATGAACTCATTTAATCCCTCAGTGTCAACAGCCTGCCCTATGCTGATGTCTCAAATTAGTTCTTACATTGGACCTTTTTTTGAAGCTGAATCTTCTCTTCCATACTAAGCCACTTGGCATTTCAAAATCCAAAATGTTTAAAATGGAATTCCTTATCTAATCTCTTCCCTTCTCAAGCCAATTCCTGCCTTTTGTACTACACATTCCAAGTACTCAGCCAAACCTTGCAATATTCTTTTTCTTTTGGAATTAGGATTGAATCCAGGTGCTTCACCACTGAGTTATATCCCTATCCCTTTTTAATTTATAGACATGTCTTGCTAAATTGCCCAGGCTATCCTTGAATTTAGGATCCTTCTGCTTCAGCCTCCCAAATTGCTGGGATTACAGGTGTGTGTCATCATGCCTAGTTGAATAAAATCTAATCTTTAGCATTCAAAGCTGATAACAAGTTAACCTATCTTTTCAGCCTTTTCTTCTATACTTCATTCTCCTATTTCTATTCCTGGATAATACTGGCACTGCTCTGAGCTGCACTGCCTGATCACCCCTCATTCTCCAAGCTCCTGTCTTAAGGATCATTGATTTTTAAGAAGCCCAAATCTGCCAATGATCTCTTTCTTACTTATATGGCCAGGGCATATTATTTGAATCTTTAAATAGTCTGAACCAAATGAGATGGCCTTTTTCCCCCTGTTCTGGGGATTAAACCCAGGGTTTCATGCATGGTAGGTTAAGTGTTCTCTCTCTGAGTTAGAGATGGCCATTTTTGTGGGTCAGATATTGGTAATTACGCGGTTTAGAGTCAGATGTGTGGGTTTCATCAAGAGTGGCAGGGCAGAGGCTTGTGTACTTTTCATCTCTATATCTTCTACTACCCCTGGCATGGGGATTGGTTCATAACAGTTCAATAGTGACTATAAAATTGAACAGAAAACTGTAGAAAGGGAACAACTGAGAAATGTTTTCATAGCTGCAATCTTTGCTTCCTTTGTAGACATGATTCTGGACATTCACTGTCCTATAGTGATGGGATATTTCACATCCTGCAGGCTGTGAGAATTATTTCACACATTTGAACTTTTTTTTTTT